ATATATATATATATATATGATATATATATATATATATATATATATATCTATATATATATATATATATATATATATAATTAATCGTAGAATGAATCAGTTTCTGAAAGAGTAATCTGAGTCAATGATTCATGATCCAATCAAGTTACGCAGCTGTTTTGGATGAATCATTTAAATGTATGATTCTGTGAATCACTCATTAAGACATGCAGATTAGTTTCATGTATTTGTCCACGACAGGCCTAGTCCAACACAAAAACACACTCAGATAAATATCCTTTAATCCCAAAACAGTCTCTATAACAGACTGATAGATAAAGATGAAGCTCTTACCCCATTAGAAGGATATGAGGTCCAGCCCAGCTCAGCCTGAGACTCCTTAGAATTCAGCAAAACAACTGAAAAGAAAAGAGAAACAATGTTAGGATTGGGGCGGGCCGGTGACTGATCATTACTGCGAAATAAAGTGTATAAGCCACATCAGCAACTAAAGGCTATTTCATGGCGAGATCAACATAGATCAAATCATATAAGATTGTTGGCACAATAGCCTAGTGGTTAGTGCACCAACATATGCTGCGGCAGCCCTTCTGAGCATCCCGAGTTTGAATCCCGGCTTGAGGATCCCCCCTTTCTCTTTATAAATAGATACAATTACATGAAATGATACAAAAATTATTAAATAATTAATTAATAAATATGACAAAAATGTGCATAAAAAAATCAATAATTAGAAAAAAAATAAATAAACAATTCATAAATAACTAAATTCTATATATTTATAATTAAATAATGTATGCTACATCAATAAATGAATAAAAACAACTGAATTACATTTAAGTACTTCATAAATAGCAAATAATAAATGAATAAAAAAGGCATTTAATTCGACAACTTCAAAATAAATATTTAATTATGCTAAAATAAATGAATAAAAACAACTGCATTGAATTCCACAACTTCATAATTAACATATGATACAAAAATAAATAAATAATTCAATAAATAAATAAAAATTACAATACATTGCATTAAAACAATTGGTTATGAATTTCAGTTCAATATATGTTTTTCCAGGAACACACACACAGAGCCAGCGGTGTTTAATAATAATGATGAACACACACTCCCGGCGGACGGGCTGTTGATCCGAGTCACTGTATTAGAGCCAAAATGGAGACTGACGGATCCGCAGAGCTGCACTTAGTGAAATGAAGTTCACTGGCCATCAGCTGATAATGCAGGACAATGTTGACGGATTTCAGCACCCGCTGATTCTCTGTGCTGGTTCAACATGCAAACATTCATTTCCAACCCAAGAATAAATCTTTCTTCATACTGCCATAACGCAAACTGGGCATGTGAAGAAATAGATTTCATTTAATGGATTTATTATACATTTTTTGACATGGACATCAAAAATACACTGGACACTAAGCATATATGCATTTGTTTTAAGTATTATTGGAGACTTGATCATTTTCATCACCTGAGGCTTAACATTCATTCATCATTCATTTTCCTTTAATTTATCAGAGGTCATCCCAGTGGAATGAACCGCCAATTATTCCAGGATATGTTTTACACAGTGGATGTCCTTCCAGCCACAACCCAGTACAGGGAAACACTCATATACTCCGATTCACACACTACGGCCAATTTAGTTCATCAGTTCTGCTACAGCACATGTGTTTGGACTGGGGGGGAAACCGGAGCACCCGGAGGAAAACCCACACCAACACGGGGAGAACATGCAAACTCCACACAGAAACACCAACTGACCCAGCTGGAACATGAACTAGTGACCTTCTGGCTGTGAGGCCACAGTGATAACCACTAGGCTTAACATTAATAAATAAATAAACTTAATTATAAAAATTATAATATATATATATATATATATATATATATATATATATATATATATATATATATAAAGAAATTAATGAATGAGTGAAAAAATAAATGGATAAAAAATGAATTACTTAAAATTAAAATTGATGATAATAATTAATAATAAAGAAAATAATTATTATTGTTAATTATATACTTTTATATTTTGTTATATATTCTGTAACTACATTCTTCATATATAAAGTTTTAAAATATTTAATATTTGCTAATATTTTCTATAGGTATAACGTTTTTATATCTAAAAAGTGTCTGTGTTTTTTACTTCCTCATATACTCCATAATTTATATTCCTATTTATATATGTTTTTAAGGTCACGGGCAGTTAAGCATTTCACTACTTATAGTACAGTGTGTGAGACTAAACATTAGAATTTGAGTAGAATAGAGTGTGTGTATTTGAATCAGCACCATGGACAGAGCTGGTCTGGATGGAGGCTATAATTCAGCACCATAGACAGCGCACCAGTAATCAGGAAAATAGAGGGAAAAAAGGTTTCAGAACCCTGGACAGCAGCAGGGGAGTGTAGAGATTTCAGCACCCCAGACAGCAGCCCTTATTTAAAACAACACTAAATCTAAATCTGCACAAAACAACATGATTTTAAAGTGAAGCGTGTTTCTTCTGAAGCTAAAATAACAGTGTAATAACTGATTTATTTTGTATTGGCCATGATGACGGTACAAATTATTTGACTAGATATTTTGAAAGATACTTGTATTCAGCTTTAAGTGACATTTAAAGGTTTAACTAGGTTAAATAAGTTAATTTAATCAAGTTGAGATTGGTTAACAGTGGTTTGTTCTGCGTGCACGCGCACACACACACACACACACACACACTATTTCTTAAAGAAGCAAATAATATTGGCATATGCAGAATTTACATTTTATTTTGAATATTCATATTAAACCAAAATAAAAGACTTATTTAAAAAAAAGAAAAAAGAGAATCCTGTGCAATAAACTTTGATAAAAATAAGTAAAATTTTCCGTGTTATTGTAAATAAAAACTAAATAAATAAATTGTTTGTTTGGTAAAGTATTATACATCACAGAGTCTGCTTCTTTGCAACATATCTGCCTTTATTTAGGCCAGACATGGTGGTGTATTAGAAGCTGAATTATTCATTATTTATTGCTGGTTTCTCTTTGCTGTCAAACACGCAGCCACGCGAGACCAGTAAAATGCCACCGCTGCTCACCATCGACACAAACGCTGAACTCAAACATCACAAAACTGCACTGAACTGCATTAATACACACACGCAGATCAGCTTCACTTCCAGCACAACAGCTCTTACACTGCAAAATCTTACTTGGAGTTTTCAACTCACTTTTCAACTTGTTTCAAGTGCAGACATCTAAAAATTCTTAAATCTAGTAGCATTTTCTAGACGAGCCAAAAAATATTGTCTTGTTTTAGGAAATAATGAGTCAAAATTAAGTGGGTTGTCCCTTAAAACAAGCTAATTATCTTCAAAATAATCTGACACGGGGGTAAGTGAAATAATCTGGTTTTCACTTTGACATTTTGAACCATATCTGAAGTCATGTGATAGATTTGGGATATTAAAACTATCCACATTCACACTCATTGTGTAGAAAAGAGCATCTGGAACATTCTGCTAAATTTTGTTTGAGTCCTGCAGATTATTCAGCGCATGTAAATAGCATAACTATTTCCATTCCATTTTTAATTTCATTCATCATGTTCCAATTCCATTATAATTCAAATTCTGTTCCAATACCATTCCAATTTCATTTTGTTCCAATTCTAATCTATTCAAATCTCAATTCAATTCTTTTCCAGTTCATTTTCAATTAATTCCATTCCTATTCCAGTATGTTACAATTCCATTCTGATTTTATTCCAATTCCTTTACATTTCATTCTGATCCAATTTCCATCTCATTCCAATTCCATTCCATTATGTTCCAATGCCATTGCATGTTTCAATTTCAACTGCAGTTTCATTCTCTTCCAGTTCTAATTCCATTTGATTACATTCCAAAGCAAATCCATCCCCACTATGTTCCAAAACATTCTCAATAATTCTATTCATATTTCAGTTTGTTACAATTCCATTCAGATTTTTCCAACCCCATTACCATTCCATTCTGATTCAACTCCTTTCTGTTCCAGTTCAAAATCTGTTTGATTCCATTTTGTTCCATTTCCATTCTCGTCTGTTTTGTTCCAATTCTATACAAACTTCAATTCCATTATTTTTCAGTTCCATTCCAATTAATTCCATTCCTATTCCAGTATGTTCCAAATTTCATGCTGATTTTTTTACAATTACATTATCATTCCATTCTGATCCAATAGCAATTTATTTTCAGTTCCAGTTCCATCCCGTTCCCGTTCCAATTCCATTTAATTCTATTCTGTTCGATTTCTTTTTGTACCAATTCCCTTTCAATTTCATTCCACTTAATTCCATTCCTATTCCAGTATGTTCCAATTCCATTTTGATTTTATGACAGTTCCAGTACCATTCCATTCTGATCCAATTCTAACTTAATTTCAATTCCAGTGTCATTCTGTTCCAGTTCAAATGTCATTTAATTCCATTCCAATACAATCCCATTCTGTTCCAATACCCTTCCCATTTCAGCATGTTCATATTCCTATCTGATTTTTATTCCGATTCCATTACATTGTATTCTGATCCAATTCCATTTTAATTTTAATTCCATTCTGTTCCAGTTCCAATTCCACTGCAACTTCAATTCCAGTTCCATTCTGTTCCAGTTTCAACTCCATTTAATTCCACTCTGTTCCAATTCCATTCTATTTTAATTCCATTATACTCCAAATTTCAGTTCCATTCTTCACAATTACGATTAATTCCATCCCTAATTTAAATATATTCTAATTCCCTTCAGATTATTATCTATTTTAATCTATTTTATTCTAGTATACTCCAGTTCAATTCTGATTTTAAACCAACTCCATCACCATTCTATTCTGATCCAATTCCAATTAAATTTCAATAATGTTCTAGTTCTAATTCCATTATGTTTTAATTCCACTGCAATATAAATTCAAGTTCTATTATGTTAAAGTTCCAATTCCATTTAATTACATTCCAATACAATTCCATTCCATTATGCTCCCATTTATTTTTTTCCAATTCCATTCCCACTATATTATGTTTCATGACCATTCTATTCTATTGAGTTTCATCCCATTCAATTCGATTTAAATAAGTTCAGTTTAGTTCTGTTAAATTCTATTCAAATTCAAGTGTATTTGTACAGCACGTTTCACAATAATCATTGTTCCAAAGCAGCATTGCAAACAGTAAAAGCAATTGTAATTAAAACTTTCCTGTTGAATTAGGCAAGAATGACCCATAACATCATCACAACATCATGCTCTCACCCTAAATAACCTTCATTATATTAAACCCAGTGCTTCCCTTTTAGATATCAGAGGAACATGCGGGTGCCAGATCATTCCCTCAATCCCTCAAATACAC